AATCAAAATAAAATATATCTACTCTGAAGGTGTATACCTCAATCAGATCGAAAGTTCTGGCAGAAAGTACATCCTTTCGCGATTTCACCTCGCACCATGTCATAGTGTTTTCCAAATAACGATTCGTACTAAATGATATTCTTGATGGCTACTCAATTAGAATCATTACAAAAGGGAAAAGGCCCGACTCACTATGGATCAGAGTATTTCAGCAAAAGATTGCACACGTGAAAGAAAGACGCGATAGTACCGCCACCTTTTGCATTGTTTGACTAGAAGGAAAGATTGACATCACACCAATTACTATGTGTGGATCAAAAGATACCACATCAGGTAATTTCTTTTCCTTGAGCTCATTCGCCATTCGATGAACAAGAGCGTCAATCTCTTCTCGCCACATATCGTAACCATTAATGTCCACATGTTCACACATATAGATGAACGCACGACGAAATGATTGTAGGGTATCCGAAAGGTGATTTAACACATCTAAAAACGTTAGGATTACAAAATCAAAAATAGTAGTCCATCGCTCCTAGTATTACACATACTAAAAGTCACCCTCTAATGGACCCGGCTTGTCGTTACAATTCAGAAGAGATGGAAGCTCCAAAGCAAGCTCACGGCGGATGCCTTCTTCAAGAAGTTCCTTAATATAACATTTGATAAAAAAGATTTAAAAACAAGAACTTTAGTTGTGCGTTTATCTTTACCCCAAAATTTCTTTAAGCGTTATCATTGAAAGCTCTTTTGATAGCACGTTGGAAGATTGCACAAAAAAGTATGCTAGCATGACAGCGTTTATGCAGCCATGGAGCAAAAGTGGGTAACGGCAAACAAAAGATAATTCGTAGCTTTTGGCTTGAACAATCATTGTAAACGGATGTATGGTCCATCGCTTCTAGAATTACACATACTAAAAGTCACCCTCTAATGGACCCAGCTTGTCGTTACAATTCAGAAGAGATGAAAACTCCAAAGCAAGTTCACGGCGGATGTAAGGTAAATCCCAAATATAACCGAGAATTTATGAAAGACACAAGATAAAACAGTCATCAAACTTGCTGTTATTAACCGCATTTGATGACTGCAAAAGGACAA